TTTTCCTTCTGACAGCAGGTGAGATGGTGCTTTTCTTGAGGCAGAAAGTGTTTGATTTGGCCAGGAGGCTGGATCCTTTGTAAGTTGTGTTCAACAAAACCCCTCCGTTTTTTTTCTATATGGAAATACATTTATAATTAAATGTATCTGTTTCTCTAACATGTAAGTGTGACTTCTATTTCCAAAGTTAAAAAATGAGCATTAAAAATATAAAAATGAAATAACATGATCATTCTTTAAAAGTTACAAAGAACATAACAGAGTATGTAAAAAGGAAATCAAGGTTGCAGAAATCCAAAAAGAATGGCAGGTTGCAGAAGAGAATAGGACAAACCCACAAAATTCTTATAATATACATATTAATAGTAATAGTCTGAGCATGTAGGCACTTTACAAGATAAATCTGAGTTGGTGACTGGGGACAAAGATAAGGCAAAAATCTTAAATACCTTCTTCAGCTTGGTGTATGCAAAGGAAGATGGGGGAGCTCATGCCCATAATGGGGATAGTTTTGACAAAGCCCCAAGTGATTTACAATGGTTCAAAACTGATATGGTCCAAAAACATTTAGACAAAAAACATATAGACCAGATAGTTTATAGGCACATGTCCACAAGGAGCTGAGCTCTGTTATTTCAAAAGCCATTGTTTCTCATTTTTAGAGACTCTTTGTTGACTGGCATAGTACCACTGGATTGATGTGGTGTCTATATTTAAAAAGGGACTGAAGTCTTTACCGAGTAACTACAGACCAGTTAGTTTAACTTCTATAGTCGATATGATACTTAAGGGATAAAAGACCACGTAGAAGAGAAAAGACTGAAGGGGTCAAACAAATCTGACTTCTTTTTATGAGAAAGTACCGTATTTTTCGCTCCATAAGACGCACTTTTTTCCCCCCAAAAAAGGGGGGAAAATGTCAGTGCGTCTTATGGAGCGAATATGGAGCGGCCGCTCCGGTATTTCCACCGCCGCCGTGTCAGAATACCGGGCCGGCCGCTCAGCTCTGCAGCGGGACCTTATAGAGATGACTGCTGGCCTTTGGGGAGGGAGGGGGAGCGGGTACCTGAATTTGACAGGTACCCGCTCCCACTTCCGTGGAGTTGTTCTTTCATCTTACCCGTTCCTCTATCCAGCGGCGCGCTGTCTTCCCGGCTTCTGTAGTGTGGGCATGACAGCCGGGTGCCAAGTGCGCATGCGCAAGAAGCGGTGCTTTTTGTGAATGGTAAGGCGGCACCTGGGACACATGACAGATCCCAGAAGCCGCCGGACCAATCACAAAGCGCAAGTGCTTCTCGCTCATGCGCACTGGGCACCCGGCTGTCATGCCGAGCGCCATTACAGAAGCCGGGAAGACAGCGCGCGGCTGGATAGAGGAACAGGTAAGATGAAAGAACAACTCAGCGGAAGTGGGAGCGGGTACCTGTCAAATTCAGGTACCTGCTCCCCCCCCCTCCCCAAAGGTCAGCAGTCTTCCCCTGTACTATCCACAGTCTCTGGTCATCCCTGTGCTGTCCGCAGTCTCTGGTCATCCCTGTGCTGTCCGCAGTCTCTGGTCATCCCTGTGCTGTCCGCAGTCTCTGGTCATCCCTGTGCTGTCCGCAGTCTCTGGTCATCCCAGTGCTGTCCGCAGTCTCTGGTCATCCCTGTGCTGTGTCCGCAGTCTCTGGTCATCCCTGTGCTGTGTCCGCAGTCTCTGGTCATCCCTGTGCTGTGTCCGCAGTCTCTGGTCATCCCTGTGCTGTGTCCGCAGTCTCTGGTCATCTCCTGTACTGTGTCTGCAGTCTCTGGTCATCCCTTGTACTGTGTCCGCAGTCTCTGGTCATCCCTGTACTGTGTCCGCAGTCTCTGGTCATCTCCTGTACTGTGTCCGCAGTCTCTGGTCATCTCCTGTACTGTGTCCGCAGTCTCTGGTCATCTCCTGTACTGTGTCCGCAGTCTCTGGTCATCTCCTGTACTATGTCTGCAGTCCATTAGTTCAGAATTTTTTTTTTCCTGTTTTCTGCCTCTAAAACCTAGGTGCGTCTTATGGTCAGGTGTGTCTTATGGAGCGAAAAATACGGTAAGTAAAAGCTTAGACAAAGGAGTGGCTATGGATATAGTATACTTGGATTTTGCAAAAATATTTGACAGTTCCCCACACATGGCTAATTTGCAAGTTGAAGTCTACAGGCTTATTAAATTCAGTTTGTAAACGGATAGAAAACTTGCTAAAAGACTGTATTCAGAGAATAGTGATTATTGATGCATGCTTATGATTCATGAGGAGGTGGTACACCCAGAAGTGGCTACAGAATGGTTAGGTCAGCAAAGAGAAACACAGTAGAAGAGTTGTCTACCCCTTCATCGCTTTCTTCTGTCAAACCAAACAAAAATCTGCCCAAGGAAAGTCGGATTTATGGTCTGCATATTCCCAAGTTTTGCATGGAATCTGTATGGTCAATTATTGCTCTCATTTAGTAATATCTCTAAGACAAAGGAAATACTTGACATCTGTTGACATTCAAAATGCCTGCCTCCATATTCCCTTCACCCTGAAATCTTTAGCCTCCTATGTATGAAATGGCAGACTTCAACAAATTACCCCTTGTTAATGCTTTGGTAATCCTCTGGGCTCTATTCAAGTTAATATATGCCTTCCCTCAAGTGTAGATCTTCCTTGACTGTTCCCCAAAATAGAGGAAGAGAGTAAATCAGTGATTATCATTGCACCAAACTGGCCCAGAAGAATTTGGTACACAGACATGTCCTTTTTTCCTTGTGCCCTGTTCCATAGCATCCCATAGAAATTGCAGTCCAATGTCTGAACATGGTCAGAGCTTTCAGAGTCTATCTGAAAGCCATGGCCTTCATCCAATAGACTCTCTTTTTATATTGTCAGCAGGGCCTCGAGAGGAACAACCTGCTAGCAAGTCCACTTTTGATAGATAGCACAACTTATTGTAAGAGCTTATACTCTAAAGGATACGGTACTTCCAGTACCCTTACGTATTCACTCCACGAGAATATTGGGGGTTTCCTGGGCATTCTGACATCAAGAATCTCTTGTTCGGCTTTGTAAGGCCACCACCTGGTCTTCAGTTCTATCAGGTGGATGTCCAGGGCTCTGTGAATACAGCTTTCGGCAGAAGGTTCTTTCAGTGGTAAATTAAAACGTTTAGTCCTTGACCCTTGTCGTCCACCCCTCTGATTCATTGCTTAGATGTCCCAAAGTCTATGAATATCCAGCCAGTGTCCTGGATAGTATGATTGAAATGAAAGGAATTTCCACTTACTTGTCAATTCCATATCCTAAAGTACAGTACAGGACACAGGTCACCCTCCCCACTGTTCCTGTGTTACTCTGCATTATATTCTAAAAACCTTCAGTTTCACAGAGTGGGGTAGAGATATGGGGCATGCCCAAGTGAGTTGCATCCAAAAGCTATGCCATTTTCCTAGCACCTGAAGTCAGGAGCCTATAACTCAGTCTGTGATTTTCCAGCCTGTGTTCTGTGCTGTTATCAAGGATATAGAATTTACAGGTGAGTCAAAATTTGAAGAAGAGTGGTGAGTAGAAAACACAATTATCAGGTTTTTATTGCTGTCTATCCATTAGAGTGATTTGTTTTCTCTCTATTTGTCCTGATCACCAAGTCACAGGGAATGAAAGTGAGGGCAAATCCATAATGTTGAGTTACCAAAAGAGCAGGAAGAAAGGGAGAATCTTTCCAGTTGGGAGCCTTAAGGAAATGTTAATGATGTCAGAGAATATGGTAATTAAAAACATAATTACGATGTCATAGGTAATACCATGCATAATGTATACTTTACTTAGGGATCTGTTTTTAGGATGCAAGACTATGCTATTTATCATCTATATTGAAACTAACAGATATGCTATTTGGTTTCTTCATAAAGGTACATATTGTATATCTCCTTTTTCATGATGCAGGGATGGATAAAATATTACCACTTAACAGCTGAGTGAGAACAATAACGTTGAGATCAAATAAATGAAGTAATCAGTATTTAGATTCGTAACTGGATGTGGTATGTTTATAGCATTTCCAGGTGCCTTCACATCATTCACAATGTCATAAATTTAAAGCTGGATTACCTTCAAATGTTATGACAACTGACTCATAATTGTTAAATTGTATCTATAACTAGGCAATTAATTTTGTGTGAAATTCTCATTGATTCACACAGTTAAAATTCATTAGACAATATGTGCTGTTTTTATGTAAGTACTTTTAAGAAGGTGATTTCATTTTTTTTTTAATCTTTAATTTATTTTTTTCTGTTTGTTTACATGAGGGTCACTTATGTTTGGGTTGTTCAGATAATGCATTATGTGTTAGTTATAGAAAAAAACACAGGTACTGTACAAGTTAAAGTTTGCTTCCTATTGCACATTCATTTGCTTTCTATATTCTGGAGTATTCAGTAAAAAGCTTCCCTCTGTAATTGACATTGATGATTGTGATACATTGATAAGGATTGTGATAGGGGCAGTGCAGACACCCAAAACATATTGCCTGTACTAATGTAGCCCTCTCCACCAGACATTAACTGCCTGCATATTCATCATTGTAAAGTGACAGAAGCCTTGACCAACTGCTTTATCCTTTAGCTTTACAGCAGGAGCATAGGTTGTAGTTGGGCTCAGTGGACTTCCATCAGGTTCTAGACTTCTGCCTTGTGGATGGTAAGTTGGATTAGTTAACTGAAGCCAATAAGATGTACTAGCCAGGGTGGAGAAGTTAACTACTTGTCTACTGGGAACTTTTACCCCCTTTGTGCCCAGGCCAATTTTCAGCTCTCAGCGCTGTCACACTTTGAATGACAATTGTGCAATCATGCAACACTGTACCCATATGACATTATTATCATTATTTAATTGCCACTGAGTGTTTTATTTTTTGCACTATTACCAAAAAAAGAGCAAAAAATTTGGGGAAAAAAGTTTTTTTGTTTCTATTATAAAATGTTGCAATCAGTTAATTTTTCCTCCTTCACTGATGTGCATTGATGATGCTACACTGATAGGCATCACTGATGGGCACTGATGAGGTGGCATGGATAGGCAGCACTGATCGACACTGATGAGGTGGCACTGGTGGGCATTGATGAGGAGGCACTGATATGCAGCAATGATGGGCACTGATAGGAGGCACTGATGGGCAACATTGACGGACGGCACTGTCTGATGGCACTGACTAGTGGCACTGATGGGCACAACTGCTTGGCAGCACTGATGGGTGGCACTGCTGAGCACTGGTGGGAGGCAATGCTGGGCACTGATGGGTGGCACTGGTGGGAGGCACTGCTGGGCGGCACTGCAGGGCACTGATCATTAGTGCCCTGATGATCAGTGCCGATCTGCTCTGTGATAGCTGCCAGTTATCGGTAGTACTTTCCTCACGCTGTGACAGCATGAGGAAAGTGCTGCTAATAATCGGAAACTGCATTTACTCCATGATCTGCTGTGATTGGCCTTTTACCTCATCACGTGATCAGCTGTGTCCGTGGGACACATCAATCATGGAGATAGCTGGTGCGAGCTGCTGGGGGGGTGCGCGGGAGGGCGCGTTCTGGGAGGACGTCATATGCACCCTCCCAGAAATGGATAACCATGCTTTAGCCGTCATTCTGCTATAGAGCGATTAGCAAGTGGTTAATGACTTATTCAGGAGTTGATCAGTTTGTATTTTAGCGCTACCCTCTTGAGAGCTGCTGGTTTTGGGTCCCACTATTTTCTTGCACAGCCAGGCAACACACATTTTCCAGACAGAAGAAACAGTCCATGGGCTTGGTTTGTTAGGGGTATAAACTTGGATGGGGTAAAGGCGTTATGTGACACCCAATTTGATTGAAGAAACAGCAGAATGAGGACAGTTTCCTGCTCTAGCGCCCAAAAAAAATGTCAAGCACTTGACTGCTTTTCAGCCTGAATCATCACAGTTCTTAGTAGAGTAATCTCCTTCTAGGAGCTTGGTATTCCCGTAGTGGATTTTTAGCAACATGATAACTTCTAGGAGTTCTTAGTCCCATGAGTGCACAGAATATCAGCCCACCTGGCTACAGTATCCGATCACAGGACAAGGGTTTATGTAAGCTATGAACTGACCCCTGAAGACCTGTTAGAACCTGCATTCAGCAGACCTCCCCCTTCTAGGCCCCGGGGGTGTAGAGGTACTCACACTGTCCTTGTCCTACAGCTGTGGGTAAGACTGCTTTCAGACCACCTAGCTGGGGTGGTTCTTTTACAAGCTTTGCAGGCTTCCCCGGAGGACTACAGGGCAGAGGAGCTCCCTCTTTCAGCATCTCTTCAGCCTCCAGCCTGGATGCAGAACCCCCCTTGTCCAGGGCTCCCTTCCAGGCTGCACAGCAACACCTCTCAGCAATCCAACTTCCACCCGACTCCCCTGCTAGCGTGGCTCTCTCATATTTACGGGCTAGTCTTCCCACACTGCCAGGCCTTCTGCCTCAGATTGGTCAGACCCCCATGAATATGTAGATGTGTGTCTCCACCCCCCCTCTGGCTTCTGGAAGCTTCCATTGGCCTCCAGAACCAGGAGAGATTCCTTACCTCCTGTGTCACCAGCCTGATTTCACACTGAATCCACAGTAAATCAGGCTCATTCTCTACCATGAGTGAAAAATAAATTTACCTTACACTAGCCCCACCTAAATAAATTTACCTTACACTAGCCCCACCTAGTGGCTGCTACAGTATTGACAGTAGATAAACCTAATGGAAGTAAAGCAAAGTTTAAGCCTAAGGAAGTAAAGGTTATCTGCTAGGATTTTTTTTCTTACACTGGTTTACGATTTGTTCCCATGGGTTTCAGTTGGCCTGCAGTAACCAGTGGAGATCAACTTTTAGTAATCTGCCTGTTGCTAAAAGGGAATTCATTACACACAACAATTTTTGATCAAATAAATAAGCCTCTTTGTCTAAATAGGTTTCTGAAACTAAAGAAATATATCTAACAATTCCTTTCATGCTAATAATCAATACAAACTTAGCTGCCAGCACTTAAAGTGAAAAACTAAAACAGTGTACAAAGTGGAATTATTAATTTTCCCTCATACAGTGCAGTACTACGCCCCAATAAACAAAAAACATAAACAATAGATGTGTATAAAAAACACCAAATCTCACTTCAGTGCTAGAGGTAACTTTTCAACTAATGCAGTGTCCAGTCAGCAAAAAGCAGTACTCCACCATATACAGTATAAAAAAAAGTCCATGCTGTGTTTGTATTCGATGTGAGATAATCAGTTTTCACACAGAGATAAATAACCAGTATAGAAAAACTGTTAGAAAGAAATGGCTAACACCTTTCCTTAAAGTGAAGAAGAAACCACCTGAAGAAGAAAACCAAATGGCTGTGCACCGACGCTCACCATCCAACCTGATGGAGCTTGAGAGGTATTGCAAAGAAGAATGGGAGAAATTGCCCAAAAATAGGTGTGCCAAGCTTGTATCATCATACTCAAAACGACTTGAGGTTGTAATTGGTGCTAAAGGTGCTTCAACAAAGATTGAGCAAAGGCTGTGAATACTTATGTACGTGTTTTCTTTTCGCTTTTCATTTTTAATAAATTGCAAAGATTTCAAAACGAGCTTCTTTCTCATTGCCATTATGGGGTATTGTTTGTAGAATGTTGAGGAAAAAAATGAATCCATTTTGAAATAAGGCTGTAACAAAATAATGTAGCAAACGTTAAGTGCTTTGAATACTTTCTGTATGTGTTTTTTTTTTTTATTAAATTCTCCAGTATCTTCCCAACTAAAGAAGTTAAACTAACAGGTCTATAATTACTTGGTAATGGTTTTGATCCCTTTTTAAATATAGGCACCACATTGACCAATCCAGTGGTACTATGCCAGTCATTAAAGAGTCCCTAAAAATGAGAAACAATGGCTTTAAAATTACAGAGTTCAATTCTTTAACCACTTCCCGACCGGCCGTTGCATATAAACGGCCGGACGGTGGCAGTGCAGGGTCGGGTGGCCGTTTATAAATAGCCTCCCCGCACCCTGCTTGTGCGCGCTCCCTGGGAGCGCACAGCACCGCGATCCGGTGCCCGCTGTGTCCTCCGGACACAGTGAAACACCGATCGTTGGACGGGACCTCTGTACGAGGTCCCGATCATGTGATCACTGATTGGCCAATCAGTGATCACATGCAAAGTAGTAAGCAAGATGTCACTTCTGACATCATTGCTTACTATGTGTGAAATCTGTGAATGATCACAGAGGTCACATGGTACAAGGCTATTCACAAAAGCCTTATACCATGTGACAAGCTGTGACCAATCACAGCTCACTCAGTTCTTCTCAATGAGTGCAAGAATGCACACGGAGAGAAAGAGAAATGATTGCTTTTACATCCTATATGGGTGTAAAAGCAATCAGTGTAAAAAAAAAAAAAAAAAATCTTCATCGCCCCTCACAAGTAGTACAGTGTCACCATGGTGACACTGTACTGCTAGGGTGACAGTATGTAAAAAAAAAAAAAAAAAATAATAATATAAAAAAATAAAATAAAAATGTAAAAAAAATGTTTAAAAATTATAATTTTTGCTTATAAACTAATTTGGATTTTTTTTTTTTTACTAAAAAGATAACGGAATAAATTTTGGCTAAGATTTATGATGAAATGTTATTTATTTGCAAAATTTTATAAAAAAAAACACTTTTTTTTTCAAAATATTTGGACATTTCATTTACATAGCAAAAAAAATACAAGTCCCAGTGGTGAATAAATACCACCAAAATAAAGCTTTATCTATCTCAAAAAAATGGTAAAAAATTCATTTGGGTACAGTGTTGCATGACCGCGCAATTGTCATTCAAAGTGTGATAGCGCTAAAAGCTGAAAATTGCCCTGGTCAGGAAGGGGGTAAAAGTGTCCGGTCTGGAAGTGGTTAAGGACCCGTGGGTGTATGCCATCAGGTCCAGGTGCTTTATTCACCTATGTTCTGTTTAAATATTTCTGGATCATAAATTATGAGCCAATGTGGATTATATAGGGCTGAGTCAATACCATGCCCATTGTGGACAAGAGCTCCTCCATGCTCCTTTGTATACACAGAGCTGAAGAAGGTATTTAATAAATCTGCCTTCTCTTTGTCCCCAGTCACCCACTATAGAATATTTTGTAAAGGTTCTACATGCTTAGACCTGACCTTTTTATTATTAATATATTCAAAGACTTTTTGGGGTTTTTCCTAGTATCCTTTGCAATCTGTCGTTTGTTTTCAATTTTTGCGGCCTTGATTTCCGTTTTACATATTCTGTTCTGTTATTCTTTGTAATGTGGAAACGATGATAGAGTTCCTTCAGTTTTATCTTTTATAAAATATCTTTTCTTAGTATTTATAGCTTTTTTTGGCTTTGGTCATAAGCCACATAGGTTTGATTTTTAGCCTTTTAAACTTGTTGCCCATGGGAATATATTTTGCAGTGTGTTCACATACAGTCTTTTTGAAGAACTTCCATTTCTGTGTTGTGTTCATCGATGCCAATATTCCCTCCCAGTCTAAGTCTTGGAGAGCAGCTCTCAGCCTTGGAAAAAAATTAGCTCTCTTAATGTTGAGTATTTATATTTTTCCCTTATGTGCTTGTTGTTTAAAGCTAACAATAAATGAAATCATGTTATGGTCACTGCTACCCAGATGTTCTTTTATACATTAGTAATAAGCTCTGCATGGTTTGAGATTGTGAGGTCCAGCAGAGCATCATTCCTAGTTGGGGCCTCTATGAACTGTACCATAAAATTGTCTTGTAGTAGGTTTACATATTTTTACCCTTTAAATGTTCCTGCAGTGCCATTACTCCAGTCAATTTCCAGGTAGTTAACAGGTTCCCGACCGGTCTATAGCCAGATGGTGGCCTGCAAAACCCCTCGTCTCTCCGGGTGGACGCCATATGGCGTCCTTTCGGGCATGCGCAGTTTGCATGCCCACAGAGTTGCGTAGCAGCACGATCTGTCACCGGCCGTGTACCTCGGACATGGCCGATGACATATCTGAATACCGGCCCCGTTGCCGGTACCATGTGACCTGCTGTGACCAATCACGGCAGGTCAAATGACAGTTGTATACAATGGATGGCTTCCTTTCATGCCATCCATTGTATACTAGTGTGTCTAGCTGTGAATGGTCACAGCAATCACATGCACAAGCTGGGCCAATCACAGCCCAGCTGTGTCATGTGATTAGCCATGGCCAAATCACAGCTAAGCACAAAAAAAAACCCCTGAATGAATTGATGTCATTCAGGTAAATGCTTGCTTATAGCAAAGTAATTCTTTGCTATAAGCAAATTGTGTATAAAAAAA